ATGTGAAGATTGGGGATCAAAGGTAGTGAGAACAGGAATAGTCCAGGAGGTGCTTATCTTTACAAAAACTAATTAAGTTAAAAAATCCGCAATTGGAGCTGTGGCTCAAGTGGTAGAGAACTAATCTTGGTCAAGGCAGCTAAAAAAATCTGAGCACCAAGGGCTTGTCTTCAAGCCCAGGACTGGCACCAAAAAGGAATATGGAGAAAAGTGAATCTGCAAACCACAGCTCATACTGGGATGGGCAGTGTTGGGCCTTCACTCCACCCCTTGCTCTGAAGCCAAGTTCAGAGTTGCAGAATCCTTCTTGTGGCTATCTGGACTGCAGACACACAGAGTGTCTTTGGAAGCCTGGCTTGATCATGCATGCCCATATCAGCCAGAGGAGGTCGGGGGTGGGGTGTGTGTGTGTGAGGGGTTTCCCCAGGGTGTTTGCTCAGGTCGTCCCTTGCTGCTGTCACTCTGACCCTGTTTATCTCTTGTCATTGTGATGAACCAGAGCACTCAGGTGCCCTGTCCCACGTGCACAGCATGTCTCCTGATGCAGGTCTGTCTGTGCTCCCAGTCCCAGCAGTGTCAAGAAAGTCAAATGGAGACACTAAGAGCTCACTCAAAGTTACTTCTCACACCACAGGTAGGAAATAACCTGAGCACTGCAGGGCAGAGTCCAGAGAGCAGTGTACCCTCCACTGGGAAGTACTGAGCCCCCAGCATTCACGGCGTGGCACTGAGCTCCATGGGGTCTCTGTTTTGGCTCACTAATTGATCACCCAAAGTTGGGATGTCATGATCACAATGTGTTCTTCTTTGTATAAAATGGTGACTAACACAGAAAAATAGAAAATGATGGTGGGGAAGGTGGCTCAGTTGTAGAGTGCTTGCCTTGTGTGCATGAGGCCCTAGGTTCCATTTCTCAGCACCACATAAGCAAAAAACTAAAGGCAAAAGTGGTGCTGTGGCTCAAGTGGTAGAGCGCTAGCCTTGAGCTGAAGAGCTGAGGGATAGCGTCCAGGCCCAGAGTTTGGACCCCATTACCTGAAACTTCTGCTACCCGCCAAAAAAAGGAAGATAGAAAATGAACTAGAACTATGTTGTGTTAACTTATTACTGGAAGATGCTGTATTTAAGGAGAAATAAGATTAGGGGTCACCAGTGGCTCATGCCTGTCATCCTAGCTACTCAGGAGGCTGAGATCTGAGGATGGTGGTGCAAAGCCAGCCAAGGCAAGAAAATCTGCAAGACTCTTATCTCCAATAAAACACCAGACAACCGGAAGTGGTGCTGTGGCTCAAGTAGTAGATT